CAGGATTTATAAGCTAAAATACTTTAAAGACTTCAGGTTCATTTTATCCTCGAGCTGCTTCCTAACTTCAGAGAGTTTATATAAAGTTGCAGTGAGTGTCGTAAGCTGCACCTGATTTGTTCTGCACGTGCGAAAAGGCCTTCTTCCTGTTCCTTCCTTTCACAGTAAAAGCCCTTAGCATTTACACACTGACTGCTGTAAGGTGAAATGGCTTGTGTTAAAGCATTACATACAATTTTAACTTTGATTTCACTGGTTATGAAATGGAATATTTATTATTGTTATAAATAAAAAATTAACTTTTTCTTGCTTCTTATATATGAAACTAATTAAACAGAAACTAAATTCTCCTTTTCAACTGAACTTTTTGATCCATGTACACAAATTGTGAAGTTTATTATAATTATTATTGTAGAGGTCTAGCATAGATTATTTTATCAGTATGTATGGTTGGAGAATTAGACCAACGAAGATCAAATGTTGCTTTATTTGTAAAATCTGAAACATCCTAATAAACTGACTCTGAGAGGGGAGACGTGCTTCAGTATTAAGAAGTTACAGCTGTCAGGTAGAGACAGTTTTAATAGTTTTAATCTGACTCTTGCATCAAAACAAAAATCTTTATGAGTTAATTATTTTTGTAATTTTAGCATTGACAGGAAGTACATCTGTTTTCGCACACGTGTAGAACAAATCTGGTTTCCTGGCGTGGATCAGGTCGTCCTCGTGCGGCTGCCGTGAACGATGCCGACGGTCGACGCTCTAATGATGATGTCAGATTTAGGAATGTAGAGGCATCCTGCGCTGGCCCGGATAACCGGGCCCAGGCACAGAGCACGGAGGCTGGACGCCGCTGGATCACACACAGCTTGTTTTTTTCTGGTCTGGGAAAGTAAATCCAGTTAGTGTCTCATCGCTAGATTGAGATGGATGAAGCTGCTCTGGATTACAGCAGGCGAGTTCTCAGTCTGCACGAACCACGTCGTGTTTCTTTAAATCAGGTCGGCAGGCGGGGGTTACGGTGATGTGGTGGCGTGCAGTCTCTGATTTCTGGTCAGCTGCTCATAAGACGCTCACTCTGAAATCTTATGGAAACTCCTGGAATCGGCACATTTGGAGGATGCTTGTTCAACTTTTTCACTTTGCAGTTGTTTTATTAAACACCTGAACGTTCTGGCTGTCAGATTATTTTGAATCATGCTTTTTATTCCAGATTAAGTGAAGGAAAAATGATGATTTCCTTTATTCGAATGGATTTTGTTGTGCTGAATCTAAATATGATAAAAAACTAAAACAGCTGATTGATTACAGTTTAATTGTTGCACATTATGTGCTTATAAGCTCATGCCTTGTCACTTGTTTGTTATGTTACAGATTAGCGAACGCTTTGCACAAACTAACACAAAATAAAACAAACACAGAGGCGAGATTACACAGGAGGCAGGGACGCCGTCTTTGGAAGTTCCTTTGCACAAAACATAGAGAAGAAAATATTTAAATCAAGTTTAAACTGAGTTACAAAGTTTGAGATGCAGTTTACTGCAAACTGCACCAGCAGGTGCAAAAAAAAAGCACGTCTTATTCTTTTGTGTTTGATATCGACATGAAGCTCGTCTGTAACTTCTGTATGTCACCCAAACTAACCACACCTAACCGACCCGCTGAGTAAAACATTACATCATCAGGGAATAAACAAACATCATTTTGGCTCTGCAGACTTTTGTCATATTCAGCTTTGTGCAGATAGAAATGATAGAAATGAAAACCACAAAGTGATTCAACATTATTTTTCTGAAGTGTTGAATGTGTCTGAGGCTGAACATCATCCAAATGTGTTGATTCGCTGACTTTTGCCAGGGGTCATCTGTCACTGCAGCAGGCTCGTGAAAAGATGAGAATCGAAATCACGCCGCAGGCCGTGAACAGGTTTTTGTGCAGCACTCGTGGCGTCCAGTTGACCTCCTCGCACACAGCTACTGAACACCTTTCTCTCTGCCGTGTCCCTGTTGGCACAGAGGCTCGACCTCGTCCTGGTTACTCTCACCGAGATGTTAAACGCTGACGTCATCGGTCATGATCTCTTGAATGGCCCGTTGGGCTGAAAGCCACGGGAACATTCCCCAACGTTAGCACGTCCACAAATAACCACCATCTGTCTTCTGTAGCGGCCATGAGCGGCCGCGGTCGTCCTGGCTGTTTGCCTGGTCAGTGCTTAACGTGTAGCTGTCCAGGTCTGGGAGCGGCGTGTAAACGACGTGCTGCAGTGTATTTAAATCACATGACTAAAAGCAAACAGTTGGCAGGTCGGAGCGCGTGCACCAACCACGCCGTTGTGTGTGTCGCACGTTAAGCCGGGCATTTTTAGCTCCGTGTTGGCAAACACGCGTTTGTTGCTTTGTGACGCAGCTTTAAATCGACGGAGACTTTTTAAGCCGTTGCCACGGTAACTGCGTGTGAAACGATGTCATTGCACTTTGATAAACAAACCCTGCTTTCTGGATTTGACTCAGTAAAAGGAGAGAGACGGGCTGCAGCCGTCACAGGCCTCCCTGAGAGGCTCACATCAGTTCCCACTTTAAGGAGGGGAGAGCTCACAAAGCATCTCTGGACTTTAAAGCACTCGGGTCACATGTTCCAATGTCCCCGACCACTGTGTGACTTATTATCAGTTAATGTTGTCGGGAATAACACGCTCTAATCTCTCCAGTCCTCTTCTGATTTGTTTAAACATGAAACACCAGTAGAATCAGCTTTGTACAGCACGCTGACACAAACTGTTCACCCGGCTGTACGCGACATGTGACGGCAAATAAAACTCCTAAATACCTGTGGAAACCTTGTTATGCTCCTACAGCAGAGCGTCAGCGTCTGAGTCACTCTGAGAGGGGGAGAGGCTCGCACATTAGTGGTAGAGGTCAGATTTAGTGACACCAAAGATTACTCAGGTTTGGTGCTCTGTGGTTCAGAGATCTCCACGTTTTTGGACGACGACGACGTCTCAGGAACAGAGACATGACGGTCTTCCTGTCATAGTATCCGTCTACTGAGGCAAAACCAGAGTAAATGTGGGCTGAACGTTGGGATTACAGGAATGTGAAAGCCCAACACAGTCTAGGTATTGTTTCTGCCTTGCTGCTAATGAGTCAGTCGGTGTTCAAAGCCTGACAGCTCTCTATTTTCCATCAAACACCGACGACGTAGCCTGGCGCTAACGTGGAGGTGAGCGTGTTTCCTGTCGTTGCAGTGCAACAGCCTGAGCCTAGCCTCCATAAGTCGATACACGGACGACTGATAACACTTAAAGCACATCTGTTCTGCTGTCAAAGGTCGCCCGGCCTGTGTTTACATCATGTCTGTAATCTCTTTTCAGGTCAGTGAGATTGAGGCAGAAAGGTGAGACGTGGAGGACGAACCTCTGCTTCACGTTTCCTCCCCGTGAGGCTTTGGGGGCGGTGTGGGGTGGGCGGCTGCGTCACGGGGCTCTTCCTGATTATTATGCTTTTAATTTCTGGTGCCTCTCGCACCCTGTGGGCTTTTCATCTGCAGCTGCTCTGTAGTATTGATGACTTTGTGGTGACAAACAGGGTTAAAGCTAATCTCTCTGTGGCTGATGTGGCGTCCTAACCCAGTTACCGCTCGTTATTGACACATCCACAGCGAGGCGATGGCGATCAATAGGCCATGAAGCAGGGACTTAATAGCAGCTGTGTTGAGCTGAGCGGCTGTTTGTGTGGCTCTGCATCCTAACGGGACACTAACACCTCTTTCTTTCTCTCCCCTCCTTTGTCGTCTTCACGCCTTCCTTTCGTTTGTTTTCTTCTTTGCAATTTTCAAATTCTGCGTCACGCCCCCCCTCCCCCAATGTCTGTTGCTTTGACCCGCACACCCCCTCCCTCGTCTCCCTTCTCCTTGTTGGCGCTTTCTTTCAGTGTGACCAAGACCAGTGCATTCAGAGCACCAAATTCGTTTTGCAGGCCGCCGCCACCCCGCTACTCCAGCACCAGAGCAGCGAGCCCGTCATCCTAACCACATCCCCCGAAAACGGAGGGACGCTACCTGGCCGCGCCTCCCTCGCCCTGACGGGGCCCTGCACCTCGCTGCCCCTCGGCCAGCCCACCCCTCCGACCTCCACCTCCAGCTTAAGCTGCCACGAGGCCGCCGACAAGCTGCCGGTCCACGGACACACCCTCGCACACAACCACAGCAACCCCCTGCAGGAGTCGGTGTTCCAGCACCACTTCCTTACGCCAGAGGAAGTGCCGTCGCCGCCCGGCATGCTCCACTGCGGCAGCCCCATGGGCCACAGCCACACCACGCAGGCCGGCTTCTACGACCCGGCCAGCCAGGACTCGCTGCACGAGGACTCCGTCAGAGGGCTGGTGAAGCTCAGCTCCGTCTGACGCCTCCAATGAAAACACTGAGATCACTGAAGTCAGCTGACCCCCACCCACGCTCACGGGTGGGGGTTCAAACTCAGCTGTTGGAACCTGTGGACCTAAATCAGATTTGTCTTCAGACGTTTTTCTTCCCAAACGTCTCAGCTGGAGCTGGAAGATCATTCCTGTTATTTCTGTTTGAAACTCCGGGGAAGTTTAATCCGTTAACTCTGGAAACTTCACAGGAGACGTTTCAGGTTTTTGTTCCACTTCAATCCAAAATAAAAGTTTGGGTGAGAAGGCGGAGCGTCGCAGCTCTGACTCCTTTTCTAAAACCTTCTCCTGTGTGCCCGTTGCTGATTGGACGGTGTCTTCTTGCCTTTTTTTCTTGGACATGGTCAGCAGTGCGATGGTTGATGTCTTCATGTTGCATATCATCAAGCTTTTCTATGTAAAAGAGACTGTTGTATTGTACTATGGTTATTACAACTTACAGATTATATTTCCTGTGGATATTAATAAAACCATCTTTTTATCACATCCGGCTGCGTTTCTATCGAAGGCGTTTGTGTGACCGTCATGTGATGCTGATGTTTTAACATTTATGGATGATTTTGAGCTCTGAGCTGGTCCAGCTGTGGGTCCACGCCTCAGAGTCAGTCTGTGGCCAAAGACGCTGATGGTTTGGGAGAAACTGACACTCCCACTTTAACGCTCTTCCACCCCCTTGTGGTCGAGCAGAAACACTGCAGCTAAGATTGGATTTTTTTTAAATTTACATTCTTTTATGAAACCAACAGGAAAGCATATCAGCCTCATGTTTACTAACATCAGTGTGATGTCACACCAGCTGTAGGCTGACTTTAACGACGGCGTGATGACTCACACAGTTCTGTTTGTCACGTTATTATTTAAGGATCCCGGAATTTCAGTTTTTGACCAACAAAAGCCACAAAAATATCTGAGCCTCGTCATCGGTCTGTGACCCCACGTGACCCCTCTGCAGTGGGCTGTTACAGTGAAACCATGTTTGTGTTTGGGAAGTTAAAGAATTCCAAACAATTCCTGAAAGTTGGGAGGAATTAAAATGTAAATAATAAGATTTAAGAATATTCTTCTTAAACCCATCATTTATTTATAATAGAACATAAACAAAACTGAGAAGATGAAGCGCATTGGCTAATTTTGGTTTTGAGGGCAGCAACATGTTTCTAAAAGTCTGCACACGTTTGAAATCTTCACATTTCTGTGTCAGGAACATTTTATAAACTTTTTTTGTGAACCTCTGTTCTGTGTATTTTTAAATACCCAGTCACATGAAAAATGTTCCTCCAGCTGCTTTTGAACCTTTTTCTCTTTGACGTTTTGCTGTCATCAAATTCAAAATGAGCTTTACATTTGATGTTTTCCTTTCTGTTTATTTTGTTTTTATTTACGTGTTTTATTACTGGCAAGACAGTTATGGAGAGCACACTTTTAAATCTTTGCTATGGCGGTCCAAATCCACGGAGGCCGGCGAACATGTGAGGCTCTAAAATTTAAAAAAGGCTCCCGATGATGAGCTGAAGGCTGCTGGTCATCCTCAGGTTTGAATGATAACAGAAGGATAACAGGAACACGTTTGTCATTAAATAATGTGACACATGCAGCCTGATTGGGTTACATTTTAACCACAGGTGATTATAAAGGAGACGAGCAGGACTCGCTCCTCTGACGGACCTGTCACGGTTATTTAACTCTTATTATCTCGCGCTGCCTGTCAGGTGTTTGGGACATTTTCATGTATTTCAAATATTATTTTAGTGATAAAAACAAATGCAAATGAAAGCTGTGACTTCAATGGTGCAGTAAAAACTGCACTTCCTGGATTTTTTTCTACATGAGCTGCACAGAAGAATGCAGTCCTTGTATTTATTTCACTGTTTTGCCGACCGTCTTATAATGAACACGTAAGCAGAGCCAGGTGTCAGAGCTTCTTAACATTCACATTTATTTCCGGGTTTAGTTACACAGGCTGTATCACAGCAGAGATGCACTAGAGACAAGAAAAGAAACGGTCCAGGGACCACAGTCAGCTGCAGCACGGCTCACCGTCATGCATCATCCAGTCTCAGCTGGAAACCGTTCGTTTAAGACCCGCCCACGGCCTCCGTGCCAGACTAGCTTAGAACCATCCACGCCCAGGTTGCTGTGGCTAAGCTAATTTAGCACGATAACCAGAACCCAGCAGCGTCGGTGACGCCGGTTTCCGTGCGAGTCACCACAGCTTGACGTCGGTGAGCTCCAGGTCTCCCATGATCTCCAGCTGGTCGATGCTGCTCAGGTCCTGCACCCGGTGTCTGAACTCGAACAGGTGCGAGCCGTTCACCGCCAGCTTGAACCGATGTGGCTGACAGAGGAGGAGGATCTGAGGAAGACATTTAAAATAGTCTCTGAAGAAGCTGAAGGCCTTTAGAAGCGTTGAGAAGCTGCAGGTGGTCCTTACCTCAAAGTATTCTCCTGAGGAGAATGGGAAGAAGGGCAGCTCCCGCTCCTCCTGACCCCAGGACTCACCCAGGTACGAGTTCCTGATGAACACGCCGGACTTCATGCGGGGGTTCAGGTGGAGAGCGATGTTCTCCGTCCGGCTGTTCCGGAGGTTCACGGTAAAACTGGAGCAACGTATGAGCGTCACTGTGAGACGGGCGGTCCTGGATAACTCGCACACAGATTCATACACGTGTCTGAATGTTTACCTGTGAGGATACATGCTGACCTGCCCTTTGATTGTGATGTGCTGTCCTGGGCTCAGGCCTTTGAGGATGCTGCCTTTGTAAGGGAGGCTCTGAAACAGCAGTGAAACCTGAACGTCTGAGAAGAGTTTGGACATGTGATCGACTTTTAGCAGCTTAAAGGTAAAAACTCACCAGGTCCCCTGATTCCGAGAATATTGCCTGCGAGGGAGAAAACGCACATTTAGACACGAGCGGGGAAAAACCTGGAATATGAGACCGACGTACTCACTGAGTTTGGGATGTAGCCGATAGCGTGCACCCTGACGTTCCCACAGATGGAGAAGGTGTCAACCCTGTTCAGAGGAATTCTGTGCTTGTATTCCAGCAGGTGAGCTCCATTTACCGCCACCTGCAGGTGAACAAGGAGCGTTATCGTTCGGTTCCACACGCAGGCTTACCTTCATCTACCAGCTCGTGCTCACAGACCTTGAAGGCGTCTTCATGCACCAGGATGATCGTCTCGAAGGGGGCGCCGCGCTTGTAGGGCAGCTGGTGGAGCGTCTCCTCTCTGCCCCAGCTCTCCTGCAGCAGGGAGTTGCACACCACACAGGGCGAGCCCTTGAAGCGAGGGCTGAAGTGGAGGGCGACGTCGGAGCGCGGTTTGGTGCTGCAGCCACTCGACAGGTCGATCTGAAACCTGCACAAAGTTTAACTGCCGATCATGTCGTGCATCAACGTTTAACTTAAACTCCACGTGGATGGTGGTGTGGATGTAACTCCATCCTTTTATTCTGGACCCAGCAGAGCAGCTGAGCTCAGCTGTGATTTAAAGAGAGACTTTGAGTGTAGCAGAGCTGGGAGCGATGCATGATCACTGAAGAGAATAACAACCTCATATCAGCCAAACTGATCCTGGACCTGTTCTCTGCACAGATCAGCACATCCAGGGTAACTTCTCAGCGATCCCAGTAAACCCAGCAGGAGGCGGGGTTTGCAGCATCTGACCAATCAGGTTTACTGACAGTGTTCATCTGTGTTGATAAAGTTTATTTGAATCAGGAAGGGAAGAGTTGGCAGCGAACAGATCTTCATTAACCTGCTAAAACCTGAACTCTTCCACGGCAGCATTTTTAATTTCTCTTTGATATTTGGGCTGATTGGGGCCTGATGAATTTTACCTTATTTTTGTTTTTAAGAAAAATGAGAGCCACATGTGAGGATATTTGTTTAAAATTCTGATAGAACAGTAGCAGCATAATGTCCTAGTAAGTGGATATCAGGTGCTTGTAGAGCAAAATTGAGTGTTTTGGTCTAAATAACCCAAAATGTGACGTCCACAGATGTGGACGCAGGTCTGAGGAGGTTAAAGGAACATTTGATGTGAGTGAGACATTTGATTGAGCCGCAGTGTCGGAGCTGTTTAAGGGAAGAGGAAATGTAAATAAATCAGGAATTAAGTTTCTATAGTTCTCACTGATGCTCATGACATAAAGACTTTGGATGCTAAAAACTTTGAGACCCTGTGAGGGTCCAGGAACAGCGGCACGTTTCTGATTGGCCACGACGATGAAACCTGCTGATCTCTAATCTAGAAACAGAACTGAGCAGATTGGGTCTCCAGCACGAGCGAGAACTGAACAGCTCTGTGAGAGGCGCCGGAGTTTTTGGGTCCTTGCTGCTACATCGTACTTAAACAGACACACAACCCCACACACACACTGTACACACCAAAATAATGTCACATATCAATAACCAGTAACCTCAACATTGTTTTTGATCAGAACCACGGACAGCACCTGCAGTCAGACACGTTTGTGCTACAAACTCACAGCAGAACAGATTTAAGTTTCGTTTTATCAGCGACCATAAAACAGCTGTAACATCTGGAAACAACAAGCCACAGGAGGCCTCGCTGTGTGTGGAAACACTATTTCAATAAAAAACTATTCAGCATCACAGCCTCGTCTTGCTCTGCTTCCTCTTTTCAGCGTCACTCGTTTGCTTCACGTGTAACGCTGCTGCTAAATGATGCATTTCACCAAAATATGAATTACTGAATATTTCACGTCAGCAGGTTCTCGAGCGTTTCCCCTCTGTGACAGAGCAGCATCGGTAACATGTGACACCTGCACAGATACAAACTACCCTGCAATATAAAAATCATCTCAATCAGCAGCAGCTGGAACATTAGTTATACAAAGATCAATAATTATGGTTCAATAATATCATCTATATGATTGTGAAAGGTGCCACAGTTTATAATAAGCACTTTAAATATCCTTTGATTATACAACGTGTGAAACTATTAAGTATAAATAATTTTTCAAATCAACACAAAATGAAGTTTTTGAATCTGCAGCAAAACCCAGAAACCAAACATGACAGGTGAGGGGCAGCCAATCAGAACAAAGCAGGATGGACTGAGATGCTGCACTTAGTCCCAGAATAATACACAGAAGGATTATTGTGGACTTTAAATCAAGCAAAGCAGGTATGGAAGAGTTCAGTAATACAGTAAATATCACACACCTGGAAACAGCGTCATGGGTCAACTTTCATTCTCTTTTAGCTGAAAATGTTTGCAGGGGGAGATTTTTTCTTTCATGAACAGAACAAACTGCTGCTGTTTGATTTGAATCTTACCTGTCAGCATCCGGGGGGACGGTGCCCTGGACGATGATGATCTCCCCGGGGTGCAGGCCACCAGGTATGGGTCCAGTGTATGGGATCACCTGCAGAGCGGACATGGAAACCTCAGAGAGCCTCGTGTCTTCATTCGAGTGTGGTCAGACAGACAGATGTGGACAGGTGTGTGTGCAGATGTGCGGACGGCGCTAGAAACTGCATGCGTGCAGACAGCAGAGCATGCAGCCATCAGAGGGCTGATGGAGATGATGATAATAATAATCCGCTTACCGGATTCAGAACCGTGTGTTTAGCGTTAGCCACGGACATCGGGCCTCTCGTGTCGGACTGCGGCCTGCAGCTGTGCGGAAAAACGGCAGTGTGCGCAATGCGCGCCAAACGGGAGCGGGCTGGAGCTCTCCTGCGCTACACGGGGATGGAGGCAGTGGGCATCTTCTCTCCATCAGCCATTAACAGCTCACGCATGCGCAAAACCCTACCATGTGATCGGCACCCGATCAACAACAACACGGATGAAGCCCACCCACGTGACCGTGAGAGCGTCACGTGAACCTGCAGGAAGTACATGACGTCAGTCATAATCTATCTGAAATACCTGAGAACATAACCCACGTGATCTCCGGTGTTTTAATTAAACATCAGGATTCATTCAAAGGATTTAAAGTCTAATTAATTAATTGAAGACCTGGTCCTCACCTGCAGGCAAAACGAGCAGCGGGAAGTATTTGAAACAACAATAATAATAATAATGCTGCTGCTGCTGATGATGATGATGACAGCCGGGATGTTCGGGCTCTACAGTCTTCAAACCAAATATTAAAACGATCCGACTCATTGTGTGTTTGAGTGAACATTAGTACAACAAACCTTCGTTAATAATTTTATAACTTTTGTTAGTTTAAAAAA